ATATGCATATTCATTATGAAAGTGTCCTCCCCGCAATCTGGCTAATTAGAGGCAATTCTTACTGTAACTCCTACCTGTCAAAGGTCATGTTTTACCAGAAATCACACTCCCACATTTTCTGATCCAAAGCAATGGTTTCCGAAGCATGGCCCCTCGACCAGCAGCACCCAGTGACATCTGAGAACTTGTCACAAACACCTGGCAGAAGTTCAAATTCTCGGGACTCCCTTAAATGAACTGAATCAGAAATTCCAGGGGTAAGGACAGGTAATTGGTGCTTTCACGGGTGTCAGGGAGGCGGTGCACACTGAAGGCCTGCTCGGGGCTGGGGAGGGGCGGAATCTACAGGGTAAACCGTCAGTTTCTACAAAAGAGAAAAGTGAGGCACATTCCTACTCTCACTGATTCTGCAACCCAACTCGGCGGACAAACCACAGATGCAAGAGATGTTACCGGAACAAGACAGGGCTTTGCCAGCAGTTCAAGGCAACATCCGAAGATGACAAAGATCTGGACAAATGTTTCCCTTCTGTAACCCCACTCTCAGCCTCCTTCTGTCCCCCACCAGTTTCAAGTGCTCCGCCCCCTTTTCACCTCTGGCAAATTCCAAGCAAATCACATGTTTTAAAGGCAATGCAACCAATAACTACTGCATTTTTGATAATGACCTTTTAAGGACATTTTTATAGATTATGTTATTGATCTTTATAATTCTCCTCTAAAGTATAATTCTCCTCTAACCTATGGGGAAATTTGTGTGCCAATTTAGAACATTCTAATAAAGACCCTGAATTAACATCCACTTTTTGAGAGCAGATTATACAAGGCACTTGTAGATAAAATTATTTCTAACCCCTACAAATCTGCAAGTTGTCCCAAGACAGGAAATAAGGATGTAGAAAATGTATTAAAACATATGCCATAAAATTACAGTAAAATGAAACATGTATAAAATGTATAAATTTAACATGGTGCTATTTGTTACAAAAGTGATGCTATTGCAAGAGAGAAGCCTTCATTTCCCGGTAATGAAGGTGAGGGAAAGCGAATGACAATATATGACTTCAAAAATTCCTGCTCTGAACAGATCTTTATTTTCCTTCTACAATTCCCTATAATATCTGAATAAAACACTTATTTTTTTTCTTGAAAGATCTAAGGTTACATTCAAAACTAGGACACTTTAACAGCTCTAACTCATAGTAAGTGTTTTATAACCCAGCAGAAGTGGTATTAACACAATCCCCTCGTTCTTGCAGATGCCCTTGTTCCAGCCGCAGCAGCTCCTCACCTGATGGGCAGCTTCTGTGAGACTCAAACATCTCAACCACGCTGGCCTCTATGATGTCATCATGGCTAAGACCATTTCCAAAGGTCACGTTTTAGTGAACGCGTAGTATAGTTTCAATTTAGAGGGAACTGTAATTTTTGTGATCACTCATAGGACAGATCTTCTTCTACAGGGCACTCTTTGCTAGTGAATGGACCATCTGCCAGGACCAGGCACTGGGCCAGGCTGTCCACGATACTGCAGACTCTCTAACTGTAGCTGATGAGAAGATCTACACAGGCACTAAGCCTTAAAAGTGGCATCACACCTCGATCTACTGGCTATGAAATTCCTCTCCCTCAGATTATCAGATAAATCACCTAAATTTACAGGCTGGCCATGGTGCTATCTATCTTGGGTTCAGAACTTCTTAATAAAAGGGCAGAAAATATAAGCGAGCCATTGTTGAGAACTGCTCATCACTGTCCAGCCTTCGTGTAAGATCACAAAATTGCCCTCAGGTTAGCTGAGGAGCAGGCCTGGGGAGCCCCACGATTTCCAAATGGATTAGTAAACACCTCACTTCTAAAATCATCTTCAGCCAGTGATGCTGGCTGCTTTCACCTGGGGCACTATTTTCTTCCACAGAAATAAAAGCCTTTTCAGGCAATCCTTTCCAACCAAACTGTCTTACCAACTGAGAAGTTTGTGTCAATAAGGGAAGCCAACACGTTAGGAGACTTGCAAAAGCTGCATGTGTCAGAGCTGCCATCTTAATGCTCTGCAAACTGTCCCGCTCTCGGGCCCTTACAAGGCATTCTCTACTGCCCCCTAAGCATTTCCGTTTCAAAACCATGGCTTCTTCCAAACAGGAGGCCTCAACTGTAGCTCCTGAAAAACCATGGTGCTCGTTGCTGAACTACTTCTGATCCTATGCCCATATGTACTGCACAGGTCTCCATCAAAATATTTTTATTATAAATCAATTTATGAGCACTTAAAAGTCTAAGTGCTTGACAATCATTAAACAAATATTTTCTCAATTTTGTATAACAGAATGTAAAGGGAAAGACTCCAAGTACTTTTGCCATTTAGCCAAGTCTTAATCTTTGTCAAATTGCCTTAACACTTCAGATTTTACATTTAACTAATTGATAAACAGTTCCCTTTTCCTTTGGCATTTTTCACTGTTTGGCTTCTTTCCCCAGATCTTTAGCACAGGTTTAAAACTGGTGTGAACATGCGCTCTTGGCAAGTGAATTTTTAGAACTTTAAAGGAAGAAGGGAGGCTTAACATTTTTGTTTAGTTCTTCCTCCTGCCTTGCTCGGTTCTGGGTTTGTTGTCTACTCAGAAAAAAAAATTGATTTTTTTTAAAAAAGGCAAGAACAAAGAAAGTAAAATAGAACCCAAGGGAAGCAGGAATAAAGTAAGGAGGGAAGATAAATTTTCACAGTTATAAGCTAACTTGGGAAGTAAAATTCCAGGAATAAAGTTAAGGAAGATGGCTACCTGCCTATTTTCAATGTTCCCATAGTTGCAGAAAATTCAAATAAATCTAAAGATGCTCTGTTGACACTGTGGCAACTTAGGCTCCTTGCCCACGATGGCAGCTTGCTGGCATTGGCTGGAGGCTCAAAGCTCGGAGCTCAAAGTCTGTTTGAAGATCCAGGGCAGAAAACGCAGAGCAGGCTCACAGACACAGAGAACGGACTGATGATTGCTGGGGTGGGGAGGGGGCCTCAGAGAAGGAGGCGAAGGGGTAAAGAAGTACAAATTGGCAGTTACAAAATAGCCACGTGGATGTAAACGATATTGAGATAACTATGTGTGGTTGTGTGGTGCCAGTTGGGGTCCTGGAAATAGCGGGGACCACTTTGTAAAGTATGATGGTCTAACCACTATGCTGTATACCTTAAACTAATGCAAAATAATATTGAATGTAAAATATAGTTGAAAAATACAAAAACTTAAAAAATTTATCACAAACAAAAAGAATTATTTGGAATGACAAAGCCATTTCAAACTAAACCTCTTAAAAACTTTAAAAACACTACCAGACACAAAAAAGCACACAGCAAGACAAATGTGACTCTTAAGTTGTGAAAATGGGCCACAGGGATGCATGCATACAGCAAAGGTACTAATGTTTTGGTAGAGATACCGTGGCTTCCCAAACCCATTTCCAAGAGATTTAAATGAACGACACCAGCCCATCACCAGAAAATATATTAGATGTTGTGCTATTTTGCAATTGATTCTGGTTAGCTTTGACTTTTTAACTGTTGCATTCCAGGTCTTTAGTAAAATCAAGGCTTCGTGGCCTGAAAAAGTAGAGAGTGCTATATTGGCTGTTTAAACTGATTGTTAATTTAATGTGCTAAAATAGATGTTCATAAGTCAAATATTTGGCAAATCAGACAGACATATGCAGAAACAAAAGCTAGGCATGCTTTTTCATGTATATGTCTAATACAAAACATTTATGTGTGCTGAAAACATTATACATTGGCATATTTCATGTGTATATATGTACCTGTACCCAAAACCTCCATAAGATTTGGTCAGCCCTTCAAATGAGTTTTAATCTCATGTCCTAGTGTCTCAAAAGCAGAGGCTGTGTTGTGTCCAAGAATAAGTAGCCAAAGCAGCCAATAAAGAGCCACCAACACTGGGACAATGTGAAGTACATCTTGATGAGTGACCTTGAAATACTTATTTTGCTTAGTGCCCCATCCCCAGCATTTGAATCAACTGAGAACTGTCAAGTTTAGAAAGTTATGCAAGCATGTCTTTCTCCTATTCCACTGTTATGCATCAGTAAATTCTTAATTTTTTATGGCGTATTAGTACATTTAAAAAGGAGGGGGGACCACTCTGCTGCCAAAACCTGGTTCTGGAATCAGATGGGGGTGGGAGTGGAATTCGCAGTTCACAGAAAATAGAAAATTCCCATTGTCCGAAATGTGGAGCCAGTGGGACTTCTGCTTTCCTATTCATTGCAGGATGGTAAGAGCTCCCCATGTGTGAGGATGCTCACCAATTCTGTCTGCAGGAGTACAATGCCATTATGAGTGGAAAGTGCACAGAAATACAGGCTAAGAAAGTTAATGAAAAATAACTGCCTTATTACACATTAATCCTTTCTTATTTTCAGTACACACATGACATTTTCCAAATACAGAATTATCTCTCATCCAAACCCAGGCGGAAGGAAGCTGGCCTGGCAATGCCATTCCAGCCCCGCCGGCGGCTGACAGATGATGTTGGACATCCCTCCAAGTTGGTTTACTGATGTGTTTTTTTCTTAGAAACCTGGGGCTTCACTTTAAAATGCAAAGAAGACAATGACTGTTCCATTAAGAAATCCACATGGAGCCTGCTACCTGCTTAAGGGGAAAGCATTTCCTTTGAGTCTGTATCAGTTAATAAGTTTAAGATACTTGGGGAGGTTAGGTGCACTGACCTTTTGGCAGAAAGAAGTCCAGAACTAAAAGAGCTAATGTGTTATTTTACTTTGTTTCTAAATGAGGGGAAAAAAAACAGTCTGCTGCCAAACCCAGCTCAGAATCCAAATGGGAAGGTGGGGATGGGGACAATTCACAGTCCGCTGATAAAGTGAAATATAGATGATTTTAGGAGAAATTTCTCATGTGAGCATTCTGTTTAACTGGTGTGAAGGGCCTAGAGAGAATTAGTTGGTGTGGTTGGGTCTGCCTTTGCTGTCATTACCTGGATAGAGGTCAGGCCCAGGCCCCGGGGAGCATTCCACTGCCCCGTCGGCAGCAGCGTCTCGTGGGGAAGGGGCCGGCTGCAGAGGCTGCACAGTGAGGCAATCCGTGAGCAGGTCAGGATGGAGCTCTGCGCTGGACCGCAACTAAGAGAAGGAGAAAACAGAAGACAGATGGAAACGGAAAGCTGTTCCTTGCAATACTTTCCTGGAATGGCATCATGCCCTAAGGTTTCAATGCAATTCACTCCCCAAATATTTATCAAGCAACAGCTATGGGTTAAGCACTGGGCTTAACAGAGTCAATAAAAGGGTCAATTTTCCAATCCTTGAAACACCTGGCAGGTGCTTCAGGAAAAAAAATGTGGCTGGAGGCGGATTTGACTTTAGTCCTGATATTTTCCCTTCTGAGAACCCAACTTCCTATTCTATTTCCTTTTATTTGCTCTGTATCTTATCAGAACTTGTAGTGATAACAAAACAAATTCAAGTATATTTAGTCCAGATTGGAAAGTGCTTTTAAAATACAGAGATACTACCATGAAAATATCTTGGAGATAATTAAGAAATGTCCATTGAGATTTAGTGCCTACAGATTTTACAAGACAGGAAAATACACAAGTTAAATTTAAAAACATTATAGAGCACGATTAAAAGAAAAACCAATGTCATTAGCAGAAACAGAACACCAACACTAGGTTACATGACAAAAAAAATTTAGATGGCCATTTAATCACAATAACAAAATTAATTCTTTATTTATTAAAGAGTTACAAAAAATCAAGTCATAAAAATGTTAGAATAAGGTCTAGATGAAAAGTTATCTGATCTCTTTATGAAAAAGTATTTTCTAAGTAAAATTCGAATAGAAAAAATCAATGCAATATTTAATTACAAAAAAATTATTTTCTGCTTATATAAAAACACAATACCTTAAAAACTTTGTAATATATTTGTTACAGATATTGCAAATAGTTACCATCTCCAGTGTTTAAAGGGATTATATACATTGATATTGTCTTTATCAAGACAAAACAAAACCTTTAGACATAGGGCTGGAGTATACTTATTCATCCACAATTATTTCATGTCTGACACTCTTCCAGATACTGGAAATATTTAGGGAACTGACACTCTCGAGGGGAAGAGTGTGCAGAGAAGGAAGTCCATGAGTAGGGATGAGGGATGGCAATTTTACAGAAGGGATCAGATTCAGGGAAAACCTCCTGGACATGGCACTTGTAAAAAGCTTCCAAAGAAGCAAAGGAGCGAGCCCCACAGACCTGTCAGGGAAGAACCTGTCTGCCTGTGGTGTGCCTGGGTTATCTGAGGAATAGGAAGGCTGGGCTGGTGTCAGCCTGGGGCCCAGAGAAACAGAAGATGAAACCAGAGATGTAAGTGGCAGGGGGAGTAAGTTTCGTGTCCCCCTCTCCTTCCCTCCCAGAACAGACGACCAGGAAAGGGCCTTCCAGGTCACTTGAAACTCTTGTATGACCTCTGGGGTCCAGGGACAAATGGCTGCCTCACCATGCAGCCATTGGCATGAATGTACAATTTTAAAAAGGTGAAATGGAATGATGATACACATAAAAAATATTCAGCACACTTACAAAGAAAGGCAATGTTACAGTTTTTTTACTTCTTAAATTATTAGAACCTTTAGAAAAGTACTGGTGGCCAAGTACAGTGAGGGTGTCACTCTTCAAACTGCTGGCAGAAGTGAACACTGGTACAAACTTTGTAGACGGCATCTGGCAGTACTTTTTTCAAGATCCATAATTCAAACCATTTTATCACAAACTTTGTCTTAAGGATATAGCCAGAAGAAAGGTGAAAGAAGATTTATACCCAATGTTCAGTGATATATAGCATCATTTACAGCAATATCAAAAATTAGGAAATGTTGCTTAAATATCCACAATTAGGACTAATAAATGATCTTAAATCAATTTGATAGGATATTATACAACCATAAAATAATGCTTATGAAGATAAAAGCAAAACAAAATTATATATACAAAATAATAATTATATAAAAACACATAGATGAAATACTGTAAGAAAATGTAATCCAATTTTAAGACTGATTTTTGTTCCTAGTGGCAAGATCATTAATTTATTTCCTCTGTTTTAAAAATCTTTTCCTCTGCTTTCCAAATTTTCTGCATTCCAATGGCTTGTTGGAGCTGGTTCGCACTAATCCAAGCGCGTCAACTGCATGTATCTTTTCCATACTTTTCATGCCATGATGTCAGATTGATAGCTTGAAATCGATCATAATAAGAATATATGCACCATGAAAACTGGCAAACACTACCCACTGGGGCTCATGTCTATGGAGAGCTGGTCGTTAAACACCACCAGCACACTACCGCCAGTGACTCGGGTCCATTCTCTGACCAGAAGGAAAAACATTCGCACACATACAAGACATCAGTAAGTTACTGCTTAGAGAGCAGTATTTCTTGGGCTTCAAAGAGCTTCACAGAGACACAAACATATGTTTAGGTCTTAGTCCAAGAATATGAAAATGACATAGTGACCCTAAGATAGGGAAGGAGTATTTAACACATGGAGTGAATGAGACATAATTGTATTATAATTTCCTCAGCTTTGCCACACTGGAATCTCTGACCAAGCCTGTCTGAGTTAATGCCTCACCCTCACAGGGCCTTTACAAAGTATGTTTGTTATTTTGGTACTAACTTAACACATGCCATGTAAGAGAAACTGGAAAAAAAATCAAGGCTAAGAATGAGTTCTGGTGATCACTTTTAATTTATCTTCCTCTGTTAAAATGTGATCTGGGGCCCACATGTGTGTCTAAGCATAGACATGAATGTCTCTCTGCTTTCTATTACCCACGACTCGGGTTTTACAGTTATCAGTACCGATGAGGTCTTTCCAAGGAATTTCATGGCCATGGTCACTCCTGAAGTCAAAGGCAGGCAATTCTTTCTTAGCTTTAACAAGTATTCATGTTTTCCAAGAGTGTGATTCTATAGGACTTTGTGGTGAGAGTTAATTTGGTTTTCTCTGGGATTAGGCATGGTTCTAGAAACCATTCCTTAAATTGAACAAGCCTTGAGGACCTTATGCAAAATTTCCAAAGGAGGGCCATGTGCACAGAAATGCAGTACTGACATGTAAGCTTACTGACCCTCTCTCCCTCCCACCCAGATTGGATGACCAGGAAAGAGTCTTCCAGATCATTTCAGGCTCTTAAACATTCCAGGAATTACCTAGTAGATGAGGCAGGAGGCACACAGCAGAGTCTTCTGAAAGGGATGTCTTTCAATAAAATATGTCTATTTTTTTATTTTTAAAAAAGATTTTATTTATTTATTTTTTAGAGAAGGAAGGGAGGGAGAAAGAGAGAGAGAGAGAAACATCAATGTGCGGTTGCTGGGGGTCATGGCCTGCAACCCAGGCATGTACTTTGACTGGGAATTGAACCTGCAACACTTTGGTTCGCAGCCCGCACTCAATCCACTGAGCTACGCCAGCCAGGGCCTTAAAAATTTGGAGTAAGAAACTCAACTATTTATATAAAATAAATTATATAATGTATATTTCAAACACATCTTCTTAGCTGCTAGAAATATTAAAAAGACCAAAATTTTCAATGGAAGGTGGTGTCTAACTGTGCTTCTCAAACATGGGCATGCATCAGAACTGCCTGCAAGCCCCAACTGGAGCTGTTGATTCCACAGGTCTGAGGTATGCTTCTAACAAGTTCTCAGGTCATGATGATGCTGCTAGTCTGGGGCCACACTTTTAGAACCACCAGTCTCTAAGAACCCTGATGAGATGGGCTAGATTTTTTTGGTTATGAAGAGAGAAAACAAATTATGAAAATAGGAAATCATAAAAACCAAATTGTCTTTAACACACAAACCTCATGTAACCATTTTTTCCAGTCCAAGCTATTATTCTTTTTTAAAGTATATTTTATTGATTATGCTATTACAGTTGCCCCAATTTTTCCTCCTGTGTCCCCCTCTGCCCAGCACCCCCTTTTCCTGCAGCAATCCTCCCTTAGTTCATTGTCCATGGGTTGTGCATATAAATTCTTTGGCTTCTCTATTTCTTATACTATTCTTAATATCCCCTGTCTATTTTATAGCTACCAATTATGCTCTTTAATCCCTGTACCTTTTCTACCACTCTCCTCCTTCCCCCTCCTAGCTGATAACCCTCCAAATGATCTCCATACCTATGATTCTGTTCCTAATTCTGGTTGTTTGCTTAGTTTTTTGTTCGTTTTTTATATTCAGTTGTTTATAGTTGTGAATTTGTTGCCTTTTTAATATTCATAGTTTCAATCTTCTTTTTCTTAAATAAGTCCCTTTAACATTTCATATAATAAGGGCTTGGTAATGATGAACTCCTTTAGCTTTACCTTCTCTGGGAAGCACTTTATCTGTTCTTCCATTCTAAGTGACAGCTTTGCTGGATAGAGTAGTCCGGGTTGCAGGTCCTTGCTTTTCAATACTTTGAATACTTCTTGCCAGTCCCTTCTTGCCTGCAAGGTTTCTTTTGAGAAATTAGCTGACAGTCTTATGGGAACTCCTTTTTAGATAACTGTCTTCTTTCCTCTTGCTACTTTTCAGAGTCTCTCCTTATCTTTAACCTTTGGCATTTTAATTATGTGTCTGTCTTGTTGTGGGTCTCTTTGGGTCCAACATGTTTGGGACTCTCTGTGCTTCCTGGACTTGCATGTCTATTTCCTTCACCAGATTAGTGAAGTTTTCTTTCATTGTTTTTTCAAATAAGTTTTCAATTTCTTGCTCTTCGTCTTTCTGGCACCTGTATGATTCAGATGTTGGCATGTTTGGATATGTCCCAGAATTTTCTTATTCTCTCTCCTCATTTTTTTGAATTCTTATTTCTTCATTCTGTGCTGGTTGACTGTTTATTTCCTCCTTATGTCTCAAATTGTTGATTCGAACCCTGGCTTCTCTCCCTTTACGGTTGGTTCTCTGTGGATTTTTCTTTATTTTACTTACTGTAACCCTCATTTCTTCCTTTATGTTATTGCCATACTCATTGAGTTCTCTGAATATCCTTTTCACCAGTGTTTTGAACTCTGGATCTGATAGGCTGGTTATCTCTGTTTTGTTTAGTTGTTTTTCTGGGGTTTTGTT